GGGGTGCGCCAGTGCCATGGCACACAGGGGCAATGTCGACCAACTGGGTCTCGGTGAAGGTCTCGGCTAGCGCAGCTACTCGTGTTCGATAATGCATCCTTCTACCTCGCCGTTTTTCTTCTTTCGATCTGCGTTTTAACGTTCCTTCTCGTTCTTTCTCGATCCCTCCTCTCTTTCTATGTTTTCACCGTCGACGAATCGGTGTTTGCGCCTCTTGCTCCGTAGCAACGTTGGCACTTCTATGCCTTAAGACGTCACATTTTATGTTTTATATATTATCATTATCGAGCAAGTCCATTCTATGGTCCCCACAGGGTTGAAATTACAATATCTCTCTATCTATCTAAAATTAATATATACGCAGAAAGTATCTACAAATTATTGAGAGCATGCGTGGAAGATGTCTTTACCTGCGTAATCCTGCTCTAGAACATTTTGTGCTTCCCTTACGAGTAGGACTATCGGATCCAACATGTTTGCAGCACGTGCACGTCCTTGAAAACGTGCGTCGCTATAGATAGACGCGCGGGTGCATGAACCACGCGCACTCTCTAATCTAATTGTTGCGTTTTATTCGCACGGTCCCAATCTTCGCCTCGTACGAAATTACCCGATATTGTACCTTTAAGCCCTACATTGACGTTCACCGACAAACTATCTCTTCCCTTCTAGCACGTGTTGCGTGATTGCGAATCAAGCTTTATATAACGTAGTTCCTATTGGAAGTAGATAGATCAACGTAAGCCTGTGTTCCCTAAGAATTTACGAGCCTCCTAATCCTCGCAGCGATTAATGGAATCCCAACAGGAGCTTCCAGCATTTTCTTCGGTGCTCCTTAAAGAATAACCATGAAGAATTTATAAGCATCATCAAGTACTCTACCAAGGATCGTGTAAATAGCAGTCCAAGGATAGAAAGGCGGATAGATTTATTAATCGAGGCATTTCTCGCGAGACCCACCCTTTCCTCTTCTTTATTTCTCTAAAGCCCTCGGTATCCTGCGTCGATCCCGACATTTCATCCTCATTATCTACGCTATCTCATTGAATTTCGTCCCTGCCATATGGACGTCACGTGGCGCGAGGTCATGTGCTCCCTCGTTTAATCCTGCCGCGAGACTTGTTGCACGCAACCAACCCAGCCAGCTGAGCAAACGAGCGAAGAAGTCAGGCGAGCAAACATAAACTTAGCCTTTTCATGGGGAAAACCTCTATCTTACTTATTTCGCGTCCAATCCCTCTAATTGATGTCTAATCGACGTCGGCACGTGGACTTGATATCCGATAAGGATGCAAGGATTTCAAGGACCTCTTCGATCGCGGTTCATCCAAGGTCAACGCGTTCCTTTGCCTAGTTCTGGTTGGCTGCTTTTATTTGTCACGAACACGAAAGAGACAGAGAGAGAGAGAGAGAGAGAGAGAGAGAGAGAGAGAGAGAGAGAGAGAGAGAGAGAGAGAGAGAGAGAGAGAGAGAGAGAGAGAGAGAGAGAGAGAGAGAGAGAGAGAGAGAGAGAGAGAGAGAGAGAGAGAGAGAGAGAGAGAGAGAGAGAGAGAGAGAGAGAGAGAGAGAGAGAGAGAGAGAGAGAGAGAGAGAGAGAGAGAGAGAGAGAGAGAGAGAGAGAGAGAGAGAGAGAGAGAGAGAGAGAGAGAGAGAGAGAGAGAGAGAGAGAGAGAGAGAGAGAGAGAGAGAGAGAGAGAGAGAGAGAGAGAGAGAGAGAGAGAGAGAGAGAGAGAGAGAGAGAGAGAGAGAGAGAGAGAGAGAGAGAGAGAGAGAGAGAGAGAGAGAGAGAGAGAGAGAGAGAGAGAGAGAGAGAGAGAGAGAGAGAGAGAGAGAGAGAGAGAGAGAGAGAGAGAGAGACAAAGAGAGAGAGAGAGAGACAGACAGACAGACAGATGGAAAGAGAGAGAGAAAATGCCCCTCTGATTTTCGACACCGCCACCACCATCGCTACACCTTCGTTCCACTTTCCCTGTTCCACAGCTTTCCCTAACATTGTCCTCCACCCCCCAGCATCACCGTTTGCCGTTCTCTGGCTGCCACCGGTTACCATCGATCGAGCGATCCCGTTGTAGCGCCCAGATTTGTGCTTGGTTTGCATCGCTCTATCCGTGTGTGTTTGTGTGTGTACATGTTGCCATACACATACCATGAGACGCGTGCATCGGCGCAACTGGTGTAGTAACGATCGATTTGAGTTCATTGTATGCCGTGGCGTTGCATCCGCGACTTTTTCCCCTGGGTTGTCTGGGACAACGCGAATATACATATATGTGCACGCGCTTCTGCGTCTTCAGGCACGTGTCCTAGGGCCGGTGCGCAGCCTGGAAAACGTCGTGTCGTGACAAGAGTCAAGGTGACGACGCTAATGCAAAATTCGTGGCAGGGTTAGACTGTTTCGCTGAATTTTGAATTTCGGGATAATTATTATCCCGAGGACTGGGTATGACCTCAAACCATTTTAGGGTTAAATCATGATAATCATTGGCTAGACGTCTGCCTTTGTTTTAAATTTAATCACTCTTAAATATGCAGTTAAGGCTCATCGATACTTGAGTCTAGCTTTGCGATATGCTTCTTAATGCTGATTTTTGTGCAATGTTTTTTGAGTACGAGGGTTTTGTATTCCAATTATGTATTTGGCTGCCTGGATAATGCGAAGATTGCGGTAGTTAGATATTTTAGAATGTGAAAATTGGAACGAGATGTTTTTTTACGTTCGAAATTCAGAAATGAACGGTCCTCTTCAGAAATTGATCCTCTCTTTTTTGATATCTAATGAAATTCACTGAACTGTATTTTTTTTACTAATGGACTTAGGTATTAGAACAGAAGCCTTTTAAAGTTTTGTATCATTGCTTGTTCCTTTTAAACATCAAATGTGAGTTTAAGATTTAAATTTAAAGATTTCATATTTGTACACTGTTTCATATCTTCAAATACAATACCGCTTGATAACCGCGCGTTTATGTTGAGACACATAGTAGAATATTGCCCTGCCAGTAAACGACAAAGGATTGAACTGCATAAAAACAGCTTTAAAAATTCAGAGGAATGTGCAGGAATGCAATAACAGTTTCTTCGATACAAGGTTATTTCAACAATATGTTCGTCTTAGTATATCCTTTTGCAGGCGACCGCTTTCACTTAACTCATTTAAAGGTTTAAATGCCAAACAAATAAGGAAAAACGCACAGTGTTCTTGACAGCTTGTCGCATGTAATTGCCTGATAGATATGAAATTCATTTTCGCACTTTGATTACTAAAATCCCGTGTTTTCATAAAATACTAGAAAATTACATTCATTCTCGGCTTATTACTAGATCTAAACTAAATACAAGTGAATAAACCGCTAGAAATTAATGCGTTCATTATTACAGAACATGCGAAATGTTGAGGGTATGTAGGTATGTAAAGATCGTGCGGTATCGCTATTTTCTGTTCTACAAAAAATTACAAAGTAGCTGATGAACAATTACCTTGGACTAAATAATTTTCCCAAGAAAATTTTAGTGTCACGCTATGCAATCGTTTACCCAGAATGGCGAGTGCATTCGTACTGTCCAGTCTAGGAGGTTAC